GAGCCCGATGTGGGGCTCGATCCCAGGACTCTGAGATCATGACCCGAGCCGAAGGCAGCGGCTTAACCCACTGAGCCACCCAGGCGCTCCAACTTTGTGGCCTCTTGGGGTAACTCAGGTACAGCAAGCACCTCAACCCGTCTCTGCTACCTTCAAGAATTCTGATTAAAAGCCCAAGAAGCTCTGTGACCAGCTGTGAGCAAACCTTCTGTCAGCTACTGAAAACAGAGGACTACGAGTCCTGAGCTACAAAAGCTAAAACTTTAAATAAGATCCTGGCCAACTAGTCCACATGCCAAATGCACTGTTCCTTTCAGTGTGCATTTCCCAACTCCCTAATACACACCGGGCACTAAATCGAAAACGTCTGAAGGTCCTCTCCTCCATGACCTATTCGGTTTCATATCTTTTAGCACCTAGTCCTTGGAAGTATTCCAGGGTCTGCTGAATGACCTTTCAGAGTATCTCAATGCCTCGTGGTCAAAATCAAAGCGATACCGCCCTTCTCCCCTTCCCCCACATCTGAAGCACTCAGGAACTCCTAGAGGGACTGCCTCAGTGGCCAGGGTTCCTTTGTCAGCAAAGGGTGGGGCTTAGGTGCCTCTGGCTGTTAAGGGAACAGGACTGAAGAGATGGCAGCAGGGGGCACGCCCAGCCAACTGGAACACAAAGGCCTCCTGTGGCCTCCAAGTGGAGTCGTCATCCAGCCTGAGGACTGTTATGAACAAAGTAAGATCTGAATGAGCGGGTTAGAGTAACTAAACCCCAATCTTCTTAAAAATCACCAGCTGCCTAAAACCAAAAACACAAAAACAAAACAAAATCATCCGTTGCCTCTAGACCCAAGACATGAGGGTTTCCTTGCAGAGACCTGGCTGGGGCCACAGGTTACTGGGTCATACCTTGTGTTCTCGGGGCTTGGGCTTCCGGTGACATAATGCTCTTTTTTTGGCTCAGGGTGCCTCCTTGGCCCCACTCGCAAAGACCGCTCGGAGCTGAGTAAGGTTTGCTCTGTAGAGCTGTACAAGGATCAAGGTAGAAGCTGAGTGTAACTGAAGTTCTTTGGGGCAATGGAAATATTACCTTATTAACCAGGTAACTGGGTGGTAGCTGCTCCTGGAGATTCAGCTAGGTTAGAGAAAAACACACAGATACTCCCAAGGAAATACCAAGAACCTGGTCACGGATATTTGCAGGTAAGTACTTACCCTCTTCTCTATGATGCTTATCTCCCCCCAAATACCCAGATTATCTTCCCTCTAAATTCTCTTTAAGTCTGTGGTTTACTAACATTTCACTATTCTATTTAAGAACCTGGTCTTGGGATGCCCGGGTGGCTCAGTCAGTTAAGTGCCTGCCTTAGGATCAGGTCATCATCCCAGGGTCCTGGGATCAAGTCCTGCATTGGGCTCCTTGCTCAGTGGGGAGCCTGCATCCCCCTCTGCCTGCTGCTCCCCCTGCTTGTGCACTCTGACAAATAAAATCTTAACAAAACAAAACAAAAAAAAACAAAACCTGGTCCCTCTTGGTTTTTGAGAGAAAGGATACTAAATTAAAGATACATAAAAGACTGGAACTGTATCTATGCAAATAGTAACAGCTTGTCATCCGCAAGGTAGGATTACAGCAAAATTTTTTCTTCCCTTTACTAATAAATTTACTGACATGAAATACTTTCTTATTAAGAAAAATCACAGGGCGCCTGGGTGGCTGAGTGGGTTAAAGCCTCTGCCTTCGGCTCAGGTCATGATTCCAGGGTCCTGGAATCAAGTCCCACATCGGGCTTCCTGCTCGGTGGGGAGCCTGCTTCCCCCGCTCTCTCTGCCTACTTGTGATCTCTGTCAAATAAATAAATAAATAATATTTAAAAAAAAAATCACAAATGCACCTCTTCTGAAAATGAAATATTTGCAAGTTTCCTGGTAAAAGTGTTGGAATTAAAACAAAAGTGAAGCCTCCAGTTTCATTATCAACCATTACTCTACACACTTCAGAAATACTCTGTTTTAATGTGGCAGAGGTGAGATAATACATCTCAGGCCCTAGATCACAAATGCATTGCCAGACCGTTCCACTGGCTTAAGAAGCCCAACCTCAATGCATTCAGAACCTCAAAGAGAAAAAAAAAGTTAATATAGTCCGCAAGACAATTCTATGCCAAAAGCCTGTTAGTTACACACCCAAATCCAGCAAACTTGTTCTCCTGTTTAGTCTGTCCTCAAGCTTCACAGCAAAATCTTTATGACAAGGATGTTCTGATACAGAAGGGCAGACTCCAAGGACAGGAGATGCCATTAGCAGATACAATTATACTACACACAAACAATAACCCTATTTTACCACCTCAAATGAAATCTGAAGTTTTCCAAGCTCTGAGTTTTTGCCCACCCAGCCCATGAAATGCAAAAAATAGCACATGAAAAAATTATTTGGCGTGGATTTCCACACCAGCAATTAAAAAGAAAAGAAAAAGAAAAAAAAAAGCTTGCTTGTCCTGACTCCTACCAGATCTCAACAGGCCCTGAAAGACCTCTACCAAACCGGAGAACTCAGGTCTCGTCCCCAGGGACTGACTGGTCTCCTGACTCAGGCTGTGCCCTGGAGCCTCCCTTGCTGAAAAGGTCAGCACTCTGCTGCCTGTCTCCGGGGTGTTCCAGAAGCCTCTTCCTCCTGAACACAGGTGCCCATCCTGCCAACCACCTAACTCTGGTTCTTCCTCAAACACCATGGGACTCTCCCCTGGCCCCAGGGCAACAGCCCAAGCCGTGGTTTCTCAGGGCAGGCCTCTGGGAAGAGCTCCCCGCCCTCGTGCTGGTCGTGTGGACAGCAGCCTGCCAGGACATGCAGCCCAGCCTGTGTCCGTCTCGCTACTGCATCCTCCTCCCCGGGAGGCACAGACATGCAGAGCCAACCTCCTGCCAGCAGTGGAGACCCGGCGTATCCACTGATGCTGGCAAATGCTGGGCCCAGGTACGGGAACCTTATTCTTGAGCCTGAGCCCCTGCAGTAGAATCTTCCTCAGAGCCATTTCTCCTCTGTGAGAAACGAGACACCATGAGAGGCCTTAGTGTAGACCTAGAGAACGGGGTAGGCACAGTCACGCCTCAGCTCCACGTGTACCTGGTCCCACCTTTCTGTTCTCTAAAACTAGAGCGTCCTCCGTGCCAGACACAATTCTTTGGCCACACTCCAGAAACCAAAGTTTCTGGATCATATAAAAAAGGGATCATATAAAAAAAAATACAACATGCTGCTTCTCAGAGCCAGTACTGTTGGCAAGTTGTGCCGGGAAAGATTCACGCTTCACTCCACCAATTCTTTCACAAAGGCCCAAATCATTC